AAAAAAAAAAAAAAGAGAACTTCTAATAAAATGGAACTCATAAAGAACCATTTTCATCAGTAGAGGAAAAAACTCTACATGCAATGAGACAGGAGAAATAGTCAACATTCCCAGCCAGCATACAAGATAGGACAAGAGGATAAAAAAAGAAAATAAATATCCTTTAAGAACTACCAACAGCACTTACGAGATTTACATCTGTAGTTCATATGACTTACATAATTTAAGTTTTAATTTAGTTGAGCAGGTCCTTGTTGATTTACCACCAAATATGTGGCAGAAACAGATTTAAACCTTTGGAAATAAAAGCCTTCCATGCTAGCCTGAAAGAACTCAAAAAGATAAAAGCCCAAGCAACATCACCTCCTAAATGAAAAATTCATAAACTACAGAGGAAAATGACACTATGAAAATAAGCTAGCAGCAAGTATAATAATAGAATTAGATTTATACATTTTAGAATTATTGGGTATAATTTAGATGTATAAAGAAATGAATATGAAAAAGCATTTACGAAAAAGAAACTAATCAAATTAACCAGATTTTTAAAAAACAAAAAGAACTTCAAAAAGAAAACATAATAATTGAAGTGAATGACAATAAATCAATTAAGTATCAGACTGGTAATGGTGCAGAAAGGATAAGTAAAATATAGAATTAATCAAGTTACTGAGAATGTGGCCAGAGAGAGACGTTTTAAATAAAAAAAAAATTTTGTACATGTTTGTAGTACATAATGATTACATATATTGTGGGGGAGTTCATACATATATATGACATTTCTTAATTCTTTTTTAACCCCCTCTCTCCTTCTTCTTCCTTTTATCTCATGGACCTCTTCCCAAGTGGTAGTGCGTGATGATTACATTCCTTGAAGGGCCTTGGTGTACGTGCACACAGAGAGAGATTGAGACAATTTCGAGAGATTAACCTTTAAGGGAGTCAGTCAGTGTAAATGAATGTTTCCTTGTGACTCTGAAAGGACAGACAAGAAGGAATGATGGAAGCAGTTTCAGAGATTGTCATGAGAATCATCTGAGAAATTAGACTAAGCTGAAGGTTCAGAAATCCCAAGACAGAATTTTTCAAATCCATGCATAAAACATCTTAATGAACCTACAGAATAGAAAACTCAAAGAGAAGATCTAATAAGTGTCCAGAAAGACAGATTTTCCAAATTGCTGACCTTTTACTGGGAGCAATGGGAGCTAGAAGACAGAAAATGATATCTTTTCAGTGATATTAGACTGTAGTTCCTTATTCACTGAAATTATTTTCAAGAACAGTAAAATAAAGTCAGTTTCTGAAGATACCAAAAAAGGCTTTTGACTAAGAAAAAACTCTGCTAGGTATGTGTACAGAATGATCAGTGCTCCCAAAATGAAGTGTGAAGCAAAGAATATATTTGTAAATTGAAATAAACATTCAATGTAGTAACAATAATGGTAACTTATAGGATTAAATATTCCAAGGTATATAGTATAACCATGGAGAGATAATACATGAGTATGAGAGAGAGATAATCAGAGTTAAGACATTCTGAGTCTGTTTTGTTTATGAAAAGAAAATAAAAGCATCAATGACCTCAGCTTTTGTGTTATTAGTTTCCATGACCAAATATTTAGGGTTAACACTGCATAATAAGAATACAGCCAAACTGGTAGGGGAAAAAGATCACAGAGTTAACATGTTTGTATCAGTAAATATAGTTACTACAGATAGACTTAACCTCTAGTAAGCAGATAACCTAGCTTCAAAAAACAAAAAAAACCAACATATTGTCTTTATAAGAGACATAACTAATATGAACATAGAATGTTTGAAAATAGAGGGAGATACAGTAATATGTACAAGTTAAATATTACCTAGACACCTTCTTGTAGTACAGAACTACAAAGTGTTGCTACATATTTCTAAATAGTTTGTTTCACTTGGAAGATTAATAAATCAATATTTATTTGTTTATTTATTTAGAGACAGGTCTTGCTATGTAGTTCAAGCTTGCTTTGAACTCACTATGTAGCTCAAGCTGACCTTGAGCTCAGGCCAATCCTCCTGCCTCAGCCACCCGAGTGCTGAGATTACAGGCAGGTACCACCATGCCTGGCTTAATAAATCAATTCTAAACAGAACAAAGTTAGTAGAACTGAAAAGAACATTAATGAATCAGTAGCTTGCTAAATGTTTGATATAGTGTACATATAAGAAAGAATTAGAAGAAAATAAACAATTGGAAAACATACAGTATATCATTTTCAAGCACATAGAACATTTATATAATCCACTAATCATTATCATTGTCATTGTGTTAGTTTCAGCTATTCAAAGAATTGGCTCATATATATTACATTCTTTTATCATAGCAATCAAATTGTCAATTGATATAAAAATACTACCCGTATATATTTGAAAATATCAAAACCTAAGTAGCCTGTGGGCCAAAGAATGAAGTATACCTAAATTTAAAAATAGAAGCCCTAGTGGTCTAGTTATTAATAACATTAATAATAACATTAATTAATAACAGATACAATGAAGAGTAAGAACAGTGGCCTCACTAAGGAAATTCGAACTTGAAAGAAAAATAACTTACATCATGAAGTAATGTGCAGTCAGAGCCTGGTGAAGAATCATAGTTAGTAATTGTTAGGCGCGGGGGAAATTATCACTTGAGGTTGGGGCTTGTAAAAGAAATGATTGTTCTTTTAACAATTGATCATTTTTTCTGATGGGTAAAGTGATAATACTGGAAGGGCAAGGTAATTACAAGCATATCAAAATTAAATACTTGTAGGAAAGTCCAAAATTGACCAAAATTACATTGATATGTTCCAGACTTGGACACATGTTTGCAACAAATTTGGCAGGAAACAGGACATTTGGGCAAAGAGGATGAGAAAGTTATTCACAAAGCAAGAAATAGAAATAATAAATACTTTAAAAGACATTCAGTATCAAATATGTGGGTGGAAGGAGCTGACGATGACTTAACATGTCAAATGGGCAAGGATAAAAATACGTGAAAACCTAAGACACAGATTTGTGAGCAGGGTTCATCCATATATTTTCTGCATTCCTCAGCGTCTCTCAGCTTTGCTTGTATTTTCTTTCTCCTCTCTCAGGCTGTGCACAAAAATCTACAGTTTTGTAATAGTTTTAATCTTATCATTTTTATGTGGATTGGTTGCCACAGATCTTGTACTCTTTGGTCCCATAATTCTACTTCTAGGAATTTATCTCCAGGTGTTAAATTAAATTTTATATATATATATACACACACATATATATAATTTTCAAGATTGTTCTTAATAACCTTGTTAATATCCTTGAAAAATTGTGTAAAATTTGCAAGAATGGATATTGTATAAAAGAGATGACATTATTGTATAAAAGAGAGTGTATGTGTGTGTCTGTGTACATACCGATAGATGTTCACATCCATCATACACGTATGTATACCATTTATGGAATATATTAGTGACCACTGAAATGATATATATTAATGTTGATGTAAAAAATATGCATGACATTACTAAGTGAACAAAGCAGTATACGATGTCTCCTTTTTGTAAACTTGCATGTGCACCTGTCATTGTAGGCAGCAACTTGTTCAGAGTTGCATAGATGGTGGTCATGTCCCACGACAGCGTAGTGCAAGGCAGCTGTGTTGTAAAATGAAAAGCCCGGGAATGAGGCCCTCACAGTTAGTCACCAGTGTATTAACTTAACTGCTTTTCTGACAGATCTCTGTATCTAAGTGAGCTCATCTCTGAAAGTGAGGGGAGGGGTGGACATGAACTCCCTTAGCAATGGTAAATATACCACACTGGTTATTTCCTCTCTCTTCTGCAGCCATAGCAGATCTTAGCCATCGGTCTTACTGTTCCTTCTCTGGACTTGGTCATACTGGAACATTCTTAACATGCTGTTTAAGGCCAGTACTTTTAAATAGATTGTTCTTTGTATTTGACACATTTTGGACATCCTCAGACAGGACGATCTTAGAAGTCCTTTCAGCTACAAGATTTTTCTGATCAAGGAACAAGGTCTTATTGGAAGAAATAAATGAGAGTGCTTTTGGGGAAAAATCATTTCTTGTAGTCACATTTAAAAAACCAATGAAGAGGTGAAAACAAACACATGGAATAAAACTTATAATATATTTTACTAGAGTTGTTCAGTGTATAATTAATATAAAAATTATTAGTGTATATTTATTTTGTATAAAACTTTTTCCACTTAGTGTGTATAGCACATCCTATTCTTTATAGAAATTTTTCATTAGAGAAGCTTGACTGTATTTAAAATTATAGTTTAATGAGCATATTCTTATACCCACATTGTTAACTTTTCTCATACTGGAATATTAGTTTTTAAATTAAGTTAAAGTTAAATAAAATTGAAGATTGAGATGAAGTTGCACTAGCTGCCTTCCAAGGGTGCAATAGCTATATATATTGACTGGCGGCTACTATATTGGTCAGCAGGTATTTGGCAGATACAGAAAATGGCACTAGGTTTTAGCTTTCAAGATTTTCTAGTTGAGAGAACAAGATATCAAATACAAACATGTAAACATTAAAATAATATAATCCAAAACAGCATAATTATGTGCTGGGAATTTGCCACAGACAACCTAAGCGCTACTTGGGTAGGAAGCTCGAGACACACCGCAGCTGGGTGCTTTCTACACCACTTTGAAGTCTGAGCGGTGGCGGTGATGTGTTGAGTTCGTGCAAACGGAGTGTCTTACTTCAGAAAATGTGTGTGCTCTGCCTGCAGGCATGGGACCCGCTGTGCTGGAGAAGTGGCAGCCGCTGCAAACAACTCTCACTGCACAGTTGGAATCGCTTTCAACGCCAAGATCGGAGGTATGAAAAACAAACTTACGTGCATAGAGATATGAGCCAGGCAGTCTTTTGCTAACTTGTTTCCAGAATCCTTTTTAGACTAGATGGGCTATCTGTGCACAATAATATTTGATTACTGCTAACAGCAAAACCACTATACTCAGTGGCGTTAACATGCGCCACTGAGTATAGGTAAGGACCGCAGATGGAGTACCCCTAATGTGTTACAAATGTGCCTCTTCTAATGGGCTTGAAGAAAAAAATGTAATGTATGTAGTAAAGATAGGTATCTTTGATGTCTGTACCAAAATTCTACAATTGGTACCTGGGTAGGAAGGAACTAGCAATAGACACATAGGCCATAATATCTCTGAGGAAACAAACGTTTTGAAGTTCTCTCAAAGCAGAGCATTTATTATGTGTGTGGTGCTTAGGCTTTTAGATAAAGATCTTTGTAAATGTAATTAAAATGGAAAATGGTAAAATCTCCTTTGGTAGTCGCATAAGGTAGTTTCCACGAATGGGTCCAGGGTATATCTATACATACACACAAATGCACAAAGTGAAATACACATTTATTCTAAGGATCCAGCCAGAGCAGTACAAATCCAAGCATTGATAAAAGTAAGCTTTACCATTTGGAATCAGCTTTGTAAGCAACAGCCAAGTGCCTCCATCACATACAAATGGGAGGAAAGTATTCTGTGTACACCCTCTGCCTGGTTTACAAGTGTTCTGTAAGGTTCCGGTAAAGGATATTGTAAGCTGAATGAAGCTTCTGAAACTAGGCTGGTCTTCTTTCTAAAGCACCATGCAGCTAATAATAAAAGAAAAATTATGAAACTATACTTTCATAAAAGTTATTTAAAACATGAATTGTTTCTTTCTGAAATTTGCCATTTAATATTTTCAGTTAGTTGACCTCGGATAACTGAATTTGAGGAAGTGAGACCACAGATAAGAAGGCTATGCAGGGGCTGGGGATTTAGCTCAGCGGCAAAAGCGCCTGCCTGGCAAGCGCAACGTCGTGAGTTCGGTTCCTGGTACCGGAGAAAAACCAAAACCAAAACCAAAAAAAAAAAAAAAAAAAAAGAAGGCTATGCATATAATAGCAGTGCTAAGAAAAGGTTTTCTAAAATTACCCTGAATGTCAGTCCACAGTGAATGTGACCTCTTTCCTTTACTTCACCCTGAATTTTGCCCTTTGACAATTTGTTAACCAGTAATTAGCTGTACTCTGTAGTATCTGCCTTGTCTCGGGTAGACGATGTGGAGATGCTAAAAAAAGGACACCATGGTTTTTCCCTGAGAGGGACGAGGGTGCCGGAGGCCCCTGTTCCTCCCAGGGAGCCACATCTGGTTGCCCAGCCAGCCGCCTCGCAGGCCAGGACTCAGCTGTCATGCGCAGACTCACGCCCCAACCCAGCACTCCCACTACTGACAATGAAGGGACGGGATGAACTTGGGAACTCACAATAAAATGCTGACCTAGCTTCACAGCACCTTCATTAAGAGAAGAAACTGTTGATGATAATTTAAGATGTTCTAAGCAAGGTCATACTGAATTATAGATTTAACCCCTTAGGCCTGAGGCATGAAGGCTTGGAGTTAAATGAAGAAAAAGAAGCCTGCTTTTACCTTTAAAATTTTACAAAATGGTGAAATTCTTACTTGTGGCTCTCCAATCAGAAAATCATGAGCCTCAGCTGGGCGGGTGGTGCATGCTTGTAATCCCAGCACTCGGGACGGTGAGGCAGGAGGATCGTTGTGAGATCGAAGCCACAGTAAGCTCAGCCCAGCCTGAACTGCATAGCAAGACTCTGTCTCAAAAGGACAAAAAAAGAAAGAAAATCATAAGCCTCTAAGTATGATTTAGTAGGCTTTTTTTCATGTACTTTTCATAAAATGCATACTACAGCAACTAAATCAAAATGTGTTGCTACACACACGTTGGCATTTGGACATCCCAGTAAGATTATATGGGGTAGACCTTGCTATATCACTAAAATCGTTTCACTTTATGCTTTTCAGTGGAAGGTAAGATAAAGCAGTTCATTTATCCACTTAAAAACTTGCAGATCTATTTTGAATATTCATATTAAATTGAAATAAAGCAGTAGCTACTCAGCACCTGGCACAAGCAGGGTATCGTTCTGTGTTTTCCCTCTCACAAAATAAACTTGCTCAGTATGGTTTGTGTTCCATAATTTTTAAAGGGATTTGTTCAAAACTTTCATTCTCTGCATCACCTGTTGACATACATCTTCCTTTAAAAATCAGAAAACAAAATTTTATAGTAACCCAGCAGTATGTACAACTGAGACAGATATATTTAGTCTAGAGGAAAAGATAGGAGACATAACAGCCACATGCAGCATCTTTAGGGATACTGTACTTTGAGAAAATTTAGTGTTGGCTACATGTCGAAGGGCTTATTTACTTTTCTTTTATAAAACATTAAAACCTGATATCTGTCATGGAAAAAGAGTTCAACCTAATGTTTGTGTTTTTAGAGAATGAAAATGAGGCAAAATGTTACAATTATGGAATGTTTCATACAGGTGCAATCATTGTTCATCCTGTTTTTCTTTGTTTGCAAGTAATAGAAAGTAGTAAGATAGATTTACAGTTGTATATAGTAATTAAGCCTGTGGAGGACCACCTAGGGGACCCCTTAAAGAGGAGCAATTGCCTCCGTTTTGGCTGAGCCTGACCCTGTTTCCATGTGTTGATATGTCCTGAGCTGGCTAGGACTTTTCCTTATCCCTTCAACTGGCTCTAAGCACTGCATATCGGAGTAGCCGAGGTGCTGATGGTAATCTTTGGAGCTGGCAGGCATGTCTCCCCGGACCCCCGTGGCTCCCTCCAGTGAGCCGGGATGAGGCAGGATGTGAGCCAGTGCTCCGTGCTGCCTGCTGGGACTGAGCCTCGAGAATAGAGGCTATGACTTCCTGGGGCTTCAAGGATTACACATCAGAGCTGAAGCACCGACCCCAAAGCATTAGATGCTATCTCAGTTGTGTTATACAGAGTACTCTTCCTGCATATCCTTCTTTCTGCATTTGCAGAGGTGATTTCAGGTCTCCTACCTGGCCCAGCTCATGGCACTCACGTATTTCCCTCCACTCTCACAGTCACTCATCCTCAAGCCACTGCCTTCTTCAAAATGAATAAAACCTGGGTTCAGTCCTGGGTATAGTCCTTTGTTCTGAATAGTCGTCATCATAGCTGGACTTAGGGCCCTTTGGATCCCCATAACTACAGATATGCCTTAGTGTCCTTATTCTCACCATGGGTTGTTCTGGGAGTGGTAGATTGGAATTAACTCACTGGAATTCCAGTAACTGTTCATGGGATTGCAAACATAAACTTCCTGGGCCGTGACGAGGACTGGAAAGGGCTCTCTATATAAGACTGCCTGACCTGAGGTTGTGCTATTTAATTCCTATTTATTGAAAAACAATGAAAAGCTGAAATCTTATTGAAATAACAAGATTTTAGTAAGGAGTAAGTTTGCCCTGTAAAGATACAGTATTTCAGTTATAATATTTAGTTTAAGCTGAGGAGAGTTATGTTCATCTGACAATTAGATATTTTATTGTTGTGAGTCTCCAGAATAAAAGGAAAGTCTCACCTTTGTTTTTGAATTTTGGTGCTGGGGATCTAACCCAGGGCTTGTTCATTCAAGGAAAGAGCTCTACCACTGAGCCACATTCCCAGCCCAAGCCTGGCATTTGGTGCCTATCTACCCTTTTGTTCTCTTTCCCCTCTCTTCATTTATCCCCCTTGTTCTTTCTTTCTTGTGTTACTGGGAGATTGAACACAGAGTATTTGTGCTGATCCTACATCCACAGGCCCTTTGTAAAAGATTTTAGGCGAGTTCTTGCTAAATTGTCTCAGTTGGGCTCAAAATTGTGATCTTCCTGCCTCAGCCTTGCAGAATGCTAGGATTGCATCATGTACCACCACACCTGGCTCAGCATGTAATTCATTTCTGAGTGTCTTAGTGTCCACTTTAGGGATAACAATAAATTTCTATCCATCTTGTAGGAATCTATTTAAATGAAGATTAATGACTAAACATTGCTGAAAACACTTTGAGAATTATTTGAAGTATTAAACGCATTCCCATTTATTATTTGACTTGTAAATAACTTCACAAAAAATAAATAAATTAAGTTTACATTGATCTTCAGATTAGGGGCTAATATTAAATGCAGAGGAAATGAGACCAACCCAACTTGGCACCTTTCCCAAATTTATAAGACTGCTGAGGCTAGACTATTTTATACCAACCCTGAGCACAAGTTATTCACTGGAAAGAAATTTAGGGAAGGTGGATTGCTTGAGGATCTTTCTACCCAGCAGTAGATGCTTAAGAGACGGATGAAGAGAGGGGTAGGTTATGGCAATCACTGTAGGGATTAGAAGCTCGGAAAAAAACTGGATAAAAAAAATTTTAAAGAAGCTTTTCACTTTTACATGTACTGTAACTTCCTTGCTCTCCAAAATACCTTCTGAAAAGTGTACATTATCCTTTCACCGGGAAAATATGCTCAGTTGAGTGTTGATTAACAAAACTGGGATGAGGGAAAGACAAAAAGAAAGAAGGAAGGCAAAATAGATAGATAGACAGACAGACAGTTGGGATAACTTTACTGCTCATGTCTGGTGGTTTATTGAAAGGAACAGTTAATGCTTAAACTTTTTTATATTTTGACCAATTTTGCATGCTTATATCTGGTAATCTGAGCAACTGAGTTGAAGACAACATGCAATAGAACAACCATTGGTGAATTCCTACCATCTTGTTTCGTAAAACCCTGTATCATCTCTAATGTTTTTTAAATAATTATTTTTTTATTCGCCTTAATGCTTTAAATAGTCTTCCATTCTTACATCTGATAATCTGAGCAACTTCACTGAAGATAACAATACATAATATAACAACCACTGTTAATTCCTATCGTTTTGTTTTGAAACCCTGTGTCATTTTTAATGTTCTTACTTTATTTTGTTTATGTCTGTGATGATGTTGGTATTTTGCTATTGTTCTTTTTTTTTACTACTCTCTTTAAAATAATAATAAAAAAAAAACAATGCATGTGTTTACCCCGCAGGCTTGCAGTGGGGTTTCTTGGATGTCATGCAGTGGAGCGCCTGCCCTGAGCTCGCCCTCCTTTCTGTCTTGCAGGTGTGAGAATGCTGGATGGCGACGTTACAGACATGGTGGAGGCAAAGTCAGTCAGCTTCAACCCTCAGCATGTGCACATATATAGTGCCAGCTGGGGCCCGGACGATGACGGCAAGACTGTAGACGGGCCAGCTCCCCTCACCCGGCAAGCATTTGAAAATGGTGTTAGAATGGTAGGTTTTAGAAGCACCGAGGCTTATCTAAGGTGATGATAAGGGACATGCAGGCGTCCCGTCCTCCAGGGACGAGGAATGCATGGAGCTCATGGGCTAAGCCAGCAGCTGCACTAATGGAAAGTTAGCATGAAGATTTGGCATTGTGAGCTGTCTCTGTTCTGTTGATGAACTAGGAGCTGGAGAGGTTCCTCTGATGAGAACAGAGGTGTTTTCTGATGCTTAGATTCACTGACAGGAGCTGTGTTAATTCATGTGTTAATCTTGCATTTGGAACAGCAAATTCTGGGGCTGTGAGATTGAGCGGAGCTATGAACACTCTCCAGTTGGTGCTGATAGATCATCTTACACTGCACGTCCCCCATCACCCCTTCCCTAGTCTCCCCTCTATTCTAGTACAATATTATTTTTTTTGCTGGCTTCCAGTCTCCCTAAGCAGGTAGGTATCTTAATATATCATCATTTTCCTCATTTTTACTAAGATTCACTGATTGTTCTCCTCCAAAAACCTGACCGCATAATTTAATGTAAAAAAAAATGCCTGTTTGAAATTACAGATCTTAAAAACTCCTGTCTGATTTAAAGTAAATAAAAATAAGACCGCTGATACTTTTAATGAGAAAAGGAGGAGAACTTCGCTAGAAGCAACACTTTTCTTTTTCTTACTCATGAGTGAATCTTGGGGTGACTTGGAGCGTACATTTAAACTTGTTCACTGAAGTCCTCTGTGATCTGGCCCAAACTCCTTTTCCTTCCTCATCTCTTTTCATCCCTTTCCATGTAAGCATGCCCCTTCCTTACTATCTGTCAGCACATCCTGCTTTCCCTGTGATTCCCTGCTCCCCACACACACAAGTACACCTACTGTTGGCCAAATCTCATTTCATCTTCATGCTGTAGCTAAAAGGTCAACTTTTCTCAGGAATGTCTCACTGTCTAGATTAGAATTAACTACAAACATCTTCATGCTCCCCATTCTTTATATTCTTACTGTACGCAGTCCTCATCACATTGTACTTTATAGCAGAGTTAGTTCTAGGTGTTACTTGCTCCCTAAATTTTAAATTCCTAGAGAGCAGAACTTGTGCCCTTCGCATCTCTTTGGGCTTGGCAAAGCCTATTGAAATTTTAGCAAGTAGTCAAAAAAATGGCTGCCGAATCTAATTTCTTTTACCATGAATGATGCTAACCAGAGTCATTATGTATTCAGCTAAGATTGGGAACTGTATAATGCTGTAAGTTGATTAATACAATGTTGCAGCTGAAACAACAATGATAATGAATCTCCCACATGTTTATAGGATTGAGTTAGGGTTTTATAGAAGTCTGAACTAAGCTGTCTCTTGGTTATTCTGAAATAGACTGGAAGGAAAACTAATAGGCCTTCTTCATTTAATGATCGCGTACAGACCTACAACTAGGTCTTTAAATAAATTGGTCACTAAGTGAGGAATTGTCTATAGTACATATATTACAATATTCAAAACAAAGAAATGGTCAAAGAAAACTCCAGTTTGATGACTTTACTTTATTTGCATAATTCTTACATGCAGTACTATATTGTATAGCAGAACATAAAACTACAGTACTATGCTATATAGTAAAATCAGCAAAAATTACATTTCTATATAAATAACATGTACTGTACAAAAAACCACACTGATGCTCCATAAACAAGATGAATATAACTGTACCAAAAATAGATGGGTTGTAAATCTAAACAGTACTTTAACAGGTGAGTCATTAAAGGAGGAATATCTGTATATACTTATTTTGTAGTCACTTCTTAGCTAAGTAATAGTTTAGATTTGATGAGGACATTCACTTCCAGCTCTGTCAATTTTCATCTACTTTAGAGCCCTTGAAATTGTAGGATAATGTTTTAACTTGCCTAGAATTTTCCTTTCAAAGTGCCTTAAAGCCAATAATCTGAGGATTTTATTATCAAAGCTATGGACTATAAATTACTAGTGTGGGTCCCTGTGCCAATAATAGACTGGTCATCCAAGTTAGTTAAGTGAACCAAGCCTAGTTCCTATTACATCTTCAAGTTGTGTATGTACAACAGTTACAATAAAGAGCAATGTAAAATTTCTCAGTACTATGGAAATTCGTATGTTAATAACGCACATAGCCTTGTAAGTATACATGTCCATGTGAAGGATGCCCCATATCCCGGAACTAGTTTTACTCACAGGCTCACAGGACTGCCAAGGAATCAGACAACAAGAACCAGACATTCCTGAATTTATTTTTGCTGAAGAATTTATCAGTGGAAATCTTAACTGGAATCCTAATGTGTAAAGTAAATTTAGTTGAAAGAAGAGTTATAAAAAACAGTTAAAGTTAGGAACAAGATTATTTGAGAAAATCATGAAAAGACATAGGAAGACTATATTTAGAAATAAATGATATGGAAAAATTACTCTGTACTCACTAATAATTATAAAATTAAGCTATGCTTATTGTGATGGGACACACACAAAAACATATGCAGATTGTCATCTTCCTATAATAGATTTCTCCTCCCATCTAGTTAGGCATTGCTAAGAGTGAAGACTCTATCTTTCTACACTCTTACAAATATTAGCATATCAACTGGGAACATATTATACCTCTGCACATTGGTTTTTTAACTAATGATATCCCATGGGCATTATTCCAGGGATTTTGGAGTTGAGAGATACTATAATTTAGAGGCTGAGGGTCTAGCTCAGTGGTAGAATGCATACTGAGTATGCATGAGGCCCGAGTTCAATCCCTAGCACAGAGGCAGGTGGGGGAGGAGGGGATCATTTCTTTGACATTTCGTCGTAGATTTTTCAAAGTTTTAATCTAAACAAAAGTATTTGGTTTTAAAGTGAACCATTAATTTTTACACTTGGTTTAATAACTACAGAAATAACTCTCAAAAAGGGTAATTTATTTTCTAGCTCTTATCACTGCTCGTCTAAACATGGGAGAGCAGTGGGGATCCATCTGAGTGAAACAAGATCAACCGGTCAGCGTTTTTGGTGCTTAGTTCAGAGGCTTTCCAGTTAGGCTGCGGTCAAGGGCAGCACCCGTCACTTACTTCTCTCTGACCTTCTATGGCTCAAATTCCTTCTCTGCTTCCATTTTCTCATCTAAAGTGGGGCAATAATAAATAGTGCTCATAGAGACGTTATGAGTGTTCCATGAGATACAATGCATATAAGGAATGAATGTCACCCCTGAAATGTAGTAAATGCTCCTTAAAAGCATTAATTTCAGAGAAATAATCACAGCCTTTCAGAAAGCCGTTTATATGTGTTTTCAGTCCCTCTTCTCTCCTAGATCAGTTCCACCTGCAGAGTTCTAGATGAACCCATTGAGTTATCCTTGGATGTAAATTTATATGAATGTGATAGAAGCCCCGTGTCTGGGCAGACTTTCTGAACTTTGTGATGTCTTTTACCTTCTTCCTTCCTTTGTCTACACATACCTTTAATTGCACTTCCCTTGAGAAAGCATCTTCCATTGCACTGTGATGACTCCCTGATACAGAATTTATTTCAGTTACCCATGTTTGTGGTCATGAGTTCAGTTCTTATGTACCCAAAAGATGTCTCTCTGAATCTATGAATATCAAATTGATTATTGTTAAACAGAATATTAGATCGTCTTTTCCAAGAATGTGAAACCTTTTACTACTCTGTTATCAGGCATGAAGTAAGATAGTACATTTTATGTTCTTTGAGATCATCCTAATTTATTTCTGTACATAATACACCTTGTCAAACATACAGAAAATAATTGTGTAAACACTTTACACAAAGTCAGATTTTAGAGAGTAATAAAGAAATAAGTGATGAGTTGGCTGAGTGATTTAAGGAATGGAGAAATAAATGAGTGAAAACACAATTAATTCTGTTAGCTATCCGAAAACTTATGTGACAGCTGGAAGTCACCCTGGTAGGTTGAGATTTAACTATTATCTGCAAAAATTCAGGAATTGCAGGTTATTTATTCCTCCTATTAAATTCAGTGAACTTCAAGTTTCAATTCACTCTCACTAAAGGGGTGAAGAAGACATGAAGTTTTATAGGTAGTTCATAAAAGACATTGCATTCCCCCAACAAGTCAGAAGAGAAACAAGCATAGAGACAACCAGAACGATTTCTGTTGCAAGTAATGGTAACAAGTGGAATAAAACTAGTGCTTGCTGGAAGATGGAGCTGCTTTAATGGAGGACAGAGCGTGCTCTTTGAGGTGCCAATAGTTGCACAAAGACACACGCAAGATGATTCTGAGCACCTCGTGTGAACTGGAAGAGGAATGTTCTATGCAGAAAGAGCAGAAAGATCCAAGAACCTTGTGTAGAGAAAGACTGGTGCATCCCTAGAACACAGTGTGAACTTGGGTGTGGGGAGCAAGATGAGTAATAGAAAGAGAGCAGGAAGAGATGGGTTGGAAGTGGGCAGGGGACATCTGGGCAGGGTTTTCTAATTCTAGGAGGGGGTGCATTTCTTCTCTTACAGACTAAAATGGTTTTAGACGTAGTGGACTGGCTTGATGGACAGTTTTTTAAGTCACTGCTGTGGAGACCATATATGGTATGTGGGGTGAGGAATGCAGAGGCAGTGTGAAGACTGCAGTGGTCCAGGACAGACAAGCTAGGATGGCAGCAATGTTTTTTTTTGTTTGTTTTTTTCCGGTACCGGGAATTGAACTCACGACATTGCGCTTGGCAGGCAGGTGCTGTGCCACTGAGCTAAATCCCCAGCCCCAAGGTGGCAGCAATGTTGAGACCCCCAAAGAGATCAGGCAGCTGGAGAGAGAAGCTCAGGTGTCAAGAAAGATTTTCACAGAGGAAATAAGTACATTTTGCATGGGGAGTCCACATATTGATTGCATCCGTTCCTTCTGCTTGCTAATCAAAAAATGTGGCAAATATTGAATCCCAGAATGCTCCCTATTTGTTTGCTGTAAGATCAGCATTTGGCTCAATAGAATGTAACACTGCTTTCAAAGACTCTAAC